TACTGTTAAATTTCATCCGTTTAGTAGTTTTTACGTGAAAAAGTAACAAATAACAAATATACTTACAAACTTTCGCATTTATAATATTAGTAAGATATATAAAAATACATAGATATTATTCATCAATCGTTTTAAAACTTAACATCAGTATAATCTTGCTAATATAATAAACACGAAAGTTTATGAGTATGGATCGATATACAGATGGATGTTTGTTACTCTTTCACGCAAAAACTACTATATCGATTTTGAAGAAACTTTACAGTAATATAGCTTATACATCAGAATAACAGATAGGCTATAATTTAAAAAGATATTATGTAAATTGAAACGTAGTGATAAAGATAAGTGTGATGCAGACGAAGTTATGCAGGTCAACTAGTTTAATATACAATGTATATTCTGCATTTGAATATATATATATATATATATATCTTTAATATATTTTGCTGTTACCAATTCTCAAAATTTCAGTGTCAATTAACGATACAAATTATGATTTGTATTTAAGAAATATGATTCAATTATTTTTTAATTTTTTTATACTTTATTGTACAAAAAGACGTGTACAAAAGGTGATTGCAATATGGTCTCTATCAAATTTGATAGGTTTTAGATTTATATTTTAATATGTTATACAAATTTAGTCTTACTAAATAAATATTGTTTAAAAGTGCTATTTGCTAGCCGATATTTTGATCATCCTAGCCGAGTTTGTTTACCAATTATATTAAAATAAAATCACGTAAAGGCAAGTTGGACCGGATAGGAACTCTCCTATTGACGGGCTGCTGTAAAAATAATATAAAGAGCCGATAACAATCGCAGTATAAATACAAAAGGGTAAAAACTGAGGCAAGACACATGGCCATTAAGGGAGGTAAAGGGGAGAAACGAAGTATAGGCAACTCATTGTCTCGAAAATGAAGATGGCGCTACAAATTCTGGCCAATCCCATACGCGAGATGGTTATTTACGACTTAAATTCCTTTGAAAGCCTATTCTAGATAAATATGTATGTATATGTATGTAAATTTGTGTATGTACTATATTTTATTTTGTTTACATAAGTGTATACAATTTTATTACTAATGCGCCACCTACTCTATTTTTTTTTTATAAATAGTCTCTTTCCAAAGGTTGTCTGTAAGAGATTGCATTAGCGATAAGACCGCCTTTTGTACTTAGTTTTTTTTTGTTTTTAATTTGTTCATGTCCTTTATATGTTGGTGCAATAAAGTGTTATAATAATAATAATAAATATTTGATTTTATACAAAATATAGATTACAAATAATAATTGCTTTGCGAATCTTTGTCTAAAGAATTATGTTACAATACATACAAATTCAATTTGTATTTATATTATAATGTTTAAATCATGAAAATCTAGACGATTTCTATTACAATAGACGTTCTGAAACAAACTTGAAATAGTAAACAGAAATTACAAACCCATTTCATCTTATTACTATTGTTGTTTTCAAACTAAGTGTGTTTCTAAGTTTCCTAGAGGCTCTCTTGTAATTTCTATTCAAGTTGAGAAATTTAAATTTTAACATTAAGAAAACTGTTTACAAAATCGTTTGCGTATTTTTTTAAGAAAGTCAATTGGCATTTTGACTATTCGCAAAGGACAAATGTCGCGTGTGCGCAGATTAAAAAAAATAATCTATTTCTTTATTTCAGACTATTAGGCTCGTAGTATAAATATCTTGTAAGCGATCATACATATGAATTAATATAAAATGAGGATATTAATACTGTCTGTGTGCTCACCATGTGATAGCGCCAACACACCACACCTTCATGAAGGAGGACTACTGGCCGAAGGCAATAGTCCTCCTTCATGAAGATGGGTAGCATGTTGGTGGGAACCCGGGCTATAAACGCCTTGAAACTCGTGTTGTGACTCGACTCCAGATTCGTCACCCTCAATATCAGGTTACTTTTGGTACGGATATAATCGACAATATCCTATGTTTATATGTATAAAGATATCCCCAGAATAGCGTTGTGGTACCTCATTACGGCATATGCTGAGCAGAGACCTATTTGATACCAAATCAATGATACAAATTGTAATTGGTATATTTTATGTGTATCACACACATTATTATTATATAATTTCTTTTTCTTTTTTTATATTTCTTCTTTCAATACATATGACTCCTCAAGATCCATTCATAAAGTCTGAATTTTCATTCATTCATTTAATTTATTTATTCATAACAATTTACATTGTGTTGAATTTTATTACATATCATAATTTTTACTTTAATTAATTAAATGCATAAAATTGTATAATATAATAGTTTCTTAATAATACACACTTTATACTGAAAAACGGCTTACAAAGCAAGTTTCTTGACGGTATAGTGAAATAATATTCGATATTTTTAGAAATGAGACATAATGTAATTTCAAAATAACCGTTTTTAGTAAATAATTTTCGGTTACATCTCGTATTCACATAAAAGGAATCGCTGTAAGGAAAACTTTACAGATAATCGGCATTCGCTTTAAAAAAATATTTGGTAGAATAATCCATTTCTTACAATATATTCCTTCAACGTTAGATAAAATATATATTGAATACATTGATAAATATTAAAGAGGAACCTGTATAGTGACTTCCATGAATCAGACTATGTAATATTATAAACGCGAAAGTTTGTGAGTATGGATGAATGTTTGTTAGTCTTTCACGCAAAAACTACTGAACGGATTTTGATGAAACTTTACAGTAATATAGCTTATATATCAGATTAACACATAGGCTACAAATTTCATACCGCGTAATACCGCGGTCATAGCTAATTACAGATAAACTACGATTGTTATAATTTTTAGAGAAAAAAATATATTTACACATAAATTTTCGTAAATAATGCTTAGAATTATATTTTTTAATAGCTTATGCTCGCGGCTTCGCTCGCGTTAATTTATCCTCTTAGGGGCGGAATTTATTAAGAGCTAGCTTTATGCATGCAAAGCCTCAGCCCGATCGGTTTAAAATTGACAAAGTTTCATACAAACTTACATCCCCTATTTTATCCCCTTGGTGGTAGAATTAATGAAAATCCTTTCTTAGCGGATGCCTACGTCATAACATCTACCTGCGTGCCAAATTTCAGCCCGATCCGTCCAATGGTTTGGGCTGTACGTTGATAGATCACTATGTCAGTCACCTTTCAGTTATATATATTTAGATATTGTTATGAATCTTGAACAAAGGGATGTGGTAAACAGTATAAATATATATTCTGAGGTAAATGACATATTACAATACACATAAACATCACAACAGACGCCCATACGCCGTCATATCCTCAGAACCTCAGAACAATGATGGTAAGCCTCTTATTTTATCTTATCAGATAGCAATACTGTAATTGTACGTGTGAAACGTAATTTTTTTAATAATATAAAAGGTATCAAATTCATAAATAACTTTACTTTGTTCCATATACAGATCCATATAATAGTAAAACTTTATAAATATATCCATAAGGTTTTTCCAATTCCAATAAAGTGTATAAATTTCCTTTTTTTTTTCGCTCAGAAACTTTTTGATATAATATTGATATTGTCGATATAAAAATAGGTTAATATCTTTTGTAACTAAGTATTAGATTTAGTCACAAATATATATATATAATAAATTCTAGCATAAAGATAAATTATACAAATGTAAGTCTAATAAAAAATATATAAATAAAGTTACGTAAAAAACAAAAAGTAGAAACACTCATTACTTATTAGTAACAATTTAATTTATATTAACTTCAACTTAAAACATTATTAAAACACCGATTTTTACAATTTATCGATAGAAATTATCGAGTACGGCACAGCACTAGTCGTCAGCCTACATAAATCATGACGACATACGCCCTATCTGTTGCCAGCTTAATACGATCTGGGGGGGTCGGGGAGGGGGGTGTTTTTTTACAATCCCCAAGCAAAAAGCTGATTCGTAGAAAATATTATACATTGTGGACTTTTAACGAATTATTCAGTTTAGACGTCGTTGGGGTTCATTGTAGTTTCTGACGTGGCGGCCATTTTGTTTGGGCAAACAATATTTTGAATATTAAATTGTAGGTGAAGTTATTCCTCGTTCTGAATACTTGAAGATGATGATAATGAAGCTGTTATCATCTCTTCATTGAATTAATGGTACTTAGTAGTGAGTCAACTGCTTGGGTATCTACTTCTGGAGTCAAATAGTTTAGTTTATAACCTGTGTTTCCCTATGAAGAATGATATAAGGTAGCACAATTACAGGATTCAATTGTATAATATCCGCCTTATTTCACGGTCTCGGGTTCGATTCCTCACACAGTACAGACATTTGTATTCATGAGTATGATTGTTTATATCGGACTGGGTGTTTTCTATGTATATTATGTATGTATTTAGAAAAAAATGTATTTTTAGTGTTTGTATCAGTTGTCTAGTACCCATAACACAAGCATGCTTAGTTTGGGTCTAGATGGTGCTGTGTGAGACGTCTGGAGATATTATTGTTGTAATGAAATAGTGAATAAAAATATAATAGTTTGAATGTAAAATGTACGAGAGTTATTTGAACCAATTAAATTTTGAAAGACCGCCTTTTGTACCTACATACTATGTATATAATGTTTTGCAAGAGAGAGTAATATATAAAAATAATTTTACATATAAAAACTTACGTATTTATCTAGTAGAATATAAAAACCGATACGAGACCTATCATTCAATTATTTTAAATGGAAGTTAAAGACAGGCCAACGGGCAATCATTTTTATGAGATAAATAATATTCTGTACTGATGAACAAAGGTCATATATATAAGTTTTAGGTACGCTTGTAAATGAAACAAGATATCTAGCGGTAAATTATTAAAACTTGAAATTAAAGAACAAAATTTTATATTTTTTTTACACTAATGAACAAAGGTGTTTTAGGTACAGTCATTTTTGTCTCCTATGCTATAAAAACACATTTACTCACCTGTAAGCCATACGGATCTGTTCACCGTTCTTGTACCAGATGAGTTGGGCGGGTGGGTTTCCGCCTCGACTCCTGCAGACCAGCTCCAAGCTCTGTCCACGGCGGACTGTCTCGCCTTCCGCGTAACCTTCAATGTACGGAGCTCCAGGTGGGTCTGAAATGAAAAAGGAATAATCAAAATCGGTTGGTGACTACGCTGTCATAACTTATAAATAGTTTAAGGAAAAATCACTATTTTCGTTTGTGCTCAGTTTATTTCAAGGGGGTAATTTCACCCCCTTGAAATTGAGTGTAAAATTTTGGTCAAATATTAATAATTTTTAGTCTCAGTGGTCTAGCGGTTTAGAAACTCGCTTTATTTCCGGTTATTGCGGGTTAGATTCCTCGCTCGGTACAAACATTTGTAGGTATTCATGAGTATGTTTGATCTGGGCGTTTTCGAGGTATATTATGTTTATCTCGCTAGAAATTCTTGTGCTGAAAAACAGCGTTGCAGCGCTCCAGCCGCTGCAGCATTATGCTGAGCACGGACCTATTCAGTGGATGCTTCGACAGACATACACATACACACGTAATCTGTGTACTGTTATTTGTTTGTAATTGTTCGCACTATTCGTTATTCTATTTTTTGTTTATTTAATGTGTGTTCTAGTTTTCTACTGAACAAATATCATTTCATTTCATTTCAAATTTTCAGAATTTTTTTATATACACTGTTACTGGTCATGTCGACATATTCCCGTTAAGGGCATATATGTATGTAGTTTATATAATTTCTGACAGATTTCACTGTGAGACACCCTATCTAAATCTAACCGTTTTGGAGATATTTGAATTTAATTGTTTTTTTACAAAAAATCCCGAATTTCGGCTGTTAGCTTAGATATTTTAAAATGTATAAGTCTTATTGTTACTATTGTTTAATTCTGGATGTAAAATGAGATCTATCACCTTAATAATCAATATTATACGTAAAATGAATCAGTAAGTTGTAGGCGAACTTGTTATTGTTAGTCTGAAGCATAACATAAGCAGACTAACAATAACAAGTTAATACAAAACTTACTTTTTCTCACTCACACCAGTAACCCTGTATAGATATATAAGTACCATTTAGAATAGACATAGATAGCATTTAGAATAGACTTCTCCGATCGATCCCCCGTCCAATTCAAACGGGGATCGAAATTACGACGGCCTGAGCCGAGGTTCGAACCCCTAGCGGTGCCCTCAAAATAAAGTCGTATCCGTCAGGCGAGATTTGGTATTCCGCCGCTCCATAAGTCCTTCCGTGGGTTTGGAGCGCTATCTGCACTCACCCTCTATCGTTCAGTGAAGCTGTAAAGGCCAGCTGCGGCCAACAGCATTAGAGTAGTCCGAAAAAAATGACATAGATATAAGTTTTACCAATCAATCATGGTCATTCAGATGAACAAAACAAGATATAAAAGCTAGTATATATACTACTACTATATCAACGTAAACATAAATCTGTTAAGATTTAATTGATCTATTGGGTTTAATTTCCAAATTGGTTACAATACAACAACCTAATTTCAATAAGTTGATTTCGATTTTAATTAAACTTCGTCTATTAAAAGTTTTAAATCTGATATTGTACAAGATTCAGAAACGTACCTGCGTTTTAATCACTTTCCCAGGTGAGATAATAACTAAAAATTAAGCATCCAACCCAATAAAGAGATTCACAAGCTAAGAGCAAATACTAAAAAACATACTCTTGAAATTTTTTATCATTCAACTGTTTTAAAAGTTTCCACGAAATATTTTTATCTGAAAACATTAAAATGTGACTTCAATGTCCTTTATGTATTAGTAGTTGTGGTTTCAACAGCAAAAAAAAAATATTTTTAACGGCCTCGGTTGTTTAGCAGTGTCGCTGGTTCGATTCCTCGCACGGCACAAACATTTTGTGTATTAATGAATATGATTTTTTGTATCGGATTGGGTGTTTTCTAAGTATAATATTTATGGATTATAAATGTATGTATTTGTGTCAGTTATCTAGTACCCTTATCACAAGTTTTAGCTACCATATCTTGGGCCTAGATGGCGCTGTGTGAATTGTTCTGGGAGCTTCATCAAAATCCGTTCAGTAGTTTTTGCTTGAAAGAGTAACAAATATCTAACTATACATCTATCCATCCATACTGACAAACTGTCACGTTTTAATATTAGTAAGATAAAGATAATCTAATTGATGGTAATGGTGAAATGAGGGCGTAACTATAAAAAAAACAGGTAAGACAAAGGTTCACCAAGTAACCTTGCACAAAATCTATCTCGTACATTAAAAAATTTAAACATTTAAGTGTTTTAAAAGTAGCTTAGAAAATTCTTTTATCTGGAAACATTAAAAGTTAACCTCACTGTACAAACGAGCACAAAACTCAAATGAATCCTTCCAGTCCGCAGAAGAGGCTCGCTTTAAAAATAAAATAGGCGGTTTTAATTTTTTTTAAATTACAAACCCAATTTATTAGATCCGCCCCTCGTTCCGCTCAAAGGGAAAACTCATAAGAAATTTGCCCACAAAGAAAAACGCTAAACACTTTTCCACGCGACTGTGCACGAAGATTGCTTTTAGAGTTCATTAAGCCTAGGATTTTGACTATGATTATTGCTGCTGGTCCCGTATATAAAATATTAATGTTTCCTCTGTCGGTCGGCTTGTCAGGGATTCTCGGTGAAATTGTAATTTGGTTATTACTTGGACGTTGGAACTGGCATTTACAATAGCATATTCGTTTTTTTTCGGACTTTTTTTTTATTTTTTATTTATTTATTGATATGATGGTTGATAAAATTACATGTTGTCATTTTACAGAAAGTCATTAATAATAAAAAAACATCAAAAATCGTCAATTGAGTACAGGCATTTATCTATCAGAAGTAACTTCATTTTTTTGTAAAGCAACGCAAACTATTCAATAAATTAAGATCTTAAACTTATTATAAAGTATCACCGCTACTCTAATGCTGTTAGCAGCAGCTGGCCTTTACAGCCTCACCGGATGATAGGGGAAGATGGCGCTCCAAACCCGCGGAAGGACTTATGGAGCGGCTGAAGGCCAACTCCCGCCTGACGGATACGACTTTAGTCTGAGGGCACCACTAGGGGTTCGAACCTCGGCCCAGGCCGTCGTAATTTCGATCCCCATTTGAATTGGACGGGGTTCGATCGGAGGGGGGACGGGGGATCGATCGGAGGGGAGGATTTTGACTATGATTATTACTGCTGGTCCGTATATAAAATATTAATGTGTCCTTAGTTGGTCAGCTTGTCAGGGATTCTCGGTGAAATTGTAATTTGGTTATTACTTGGACGTCGGAACTGGCATTCACAATAGCATATTTGTTTTTTTTCAGACTACTCTAATGCTGTTAGCCGCAGCTGGCCTTTATAGCCTCACCGGAGGATAGGGGGCGAAGATGGCACTCAAAATATATTTTTCCATCTCTGATTTTTTTTTATCAGTTTACAGAATAGAATAGAAAATCATTTATTCAAATAAACTTAATTTAAGCACTTTTGAACAGTCATAACAATTTATTTTTTATCTACCATTCGTTCGGAAAGCTATCTCATCACAAGAAGAACGAGCAAGAAACTTGTGTGTTGCTCTTTTAAATAATCCTTGTAAGTTTACATTTACAAGTCGAAACGTGTGAATACAAACTACCAACCAGCACTAATTTTTTGGGTTAAATATAAAATGAAAACTTAATATTTTCAGAGAAAATTCAAGTTACTTAGTATTGAATTCAAATAGAGTTTGACTATATACAATACTGCCATTTCGTAGAACAATATATGGCCTAATAATTTTAGAAAGGGATAGAACTATAAAGTCAATCTGTATGTAGGTAGATTGATCAATAAATAGGCAAAATTGAATTGTGGCGATTCACCCGAGCGTAGGAGATTCCTTCGGTCGAATCGCTCAATAACTCATCACTAAGTAGATAGAATAATACCTAGATACTTTTTATAGTTTCAAGCTCTATGGATTTTATGTTTATTATCCATTTCGGGATATATGTTATGAGCCATTTTTATGTTTCTACACTTGTCCCACTGACCCGAAACGTATAATTTTACGATTATAGATTCTAACTCTATGGCAGTAGGGTTTAATTTTATTTTTATATTTATGCTCAGTTTTGGCGTTTATATTTTAGTATATATTCACGCTAGATTCCCAATGGAGTAAGTAGAGAGTATTGACATGCCCACTGGAATTGACGGCGTCAGAAGTCTAGTGGTTTAGTACGCTGCTTTTTGATAGTCACGTGTTCGATTCCTCACACGGTACAAACATCCTTATTCATGATTATGATTGTTTGTATTGGTCTGGGTGTTTTCTATGTATGTATCTAAATATTTATATCAGTTGTACCAATAACGGGAGCTCTGCTAGTGGGGATTTTGACTATGATTATTACTGCTGGTCCGTATATAAAATATTAATGTGTCCTTAGTTGGTCAGCTTGTCAGGGATTCTCGGTGAAATTGTAATTTGGTTATTACTTGGACGTCGGAACTGGGATTCACAATAGCATATTTGTTTTTTTTTCAGACTACTCTAATGCTGTTGAGCTGGCCGCCTCACCGGAGGATAGGGGGCGAAGATGGCACTCAAAATATATTTTTCCATCTCTGATTTTTTTTTTATCAGTTTACAGAATAGAATAGAAAATCATTTATTCAAATAAACTTAATTTAAGCACTTTTGAACAGTCATAACAATTTATTTTTTATCTACCATTCGTTCGGAAAGCTATCTCATCACAAGAAGAACGAGCAAGAAACTTGTGTGTTGCTCTTTTAAATAATCCTTGTAAGTTTACATTTACAAGTCGAAACGTGTGAATACAAACTACCAACCAGCACTAATTTTTTGGGTTAAATATAAAATGAAAACTTAATATTTTCAGACAAAATTCAAGTTGCTTAGTTTTGAATTCAAATAGAGTTTGACTATATACAATACTGCCATTTTGTAGAACTGGAGAAATGGCCTAATAATTTAAGAAAGGGATAGAACTATAAAGTCAATCTGTATATAGGTAGATTGATCAATAAATAGGCAAAATTGAATTGTGGCGATTCATCGAGCGTAGGAGATTCCTTCGGTCGAATCGCCCAATAACTCATCACTAAGTAGATAGAATAATACCTAGATACTTTTTATAGTTTTCCATAGATTTTATGTTTATTATCCATTTCGGGGTATATGTTATGAGCCATTTTTATGTTTCTACACTTGTCCCACTGACCCGAAACGTATAATTTTACGATTATAGATTCTAACTCTATGGCAGTAGGGTTTAATTTTATTTTTATATTTATCTCAGTTTTGGCGTTTATATTCTAGTATATATTCACGCTAGATTCTCAATGGAGTAAGTAGAGAGTATTGACAACTGGAATTGACGGCGTCGTTAGTGGTTTAGTTGTTTCAATAGTCACGTGTTCGATTCTCACACGGTACAAACATCCTTATTCATGATTATGATTGTTTGTATTGGTCTGGGTGTTTTCTATGTATGTATCTAAATATTTATATCAGTTGTACCAATAACGGGAGCTCTGCTTAGTGTGGGACTTTTTTTTTATGGATGATAATGGAATGGTGCACCCGCCTGCGCTAACGGTTTACGCTGGCGCGGCACCAGTGGAGGATGTTAAGATGAGCACGAGGTCAGGTCAGTTAGCCCATCGTTACAAATTCACCATAACTTTATGACGATGGTTTACAGGGGGAACCGCGTGGAGGTCCACCTGGTACATTGCTAGCAATGAGATCATCAGTCCACATTCCTAACAATCCCTTTTCCCCCCTTAGTTTGGGACTAGGTGACGCTGTGTTAATTTTTTTCATATTTAACTAACTATCAGCCACTCTATCTATCTACTAGTTCACTCTATCTATTGCATCATCATCTGCTTCTTCCTTATCCCATTTATTTGTGGTCGTCGTAATATGTTTTTCGCTTCCATTCATCCCTGTTCGCAGTCATCTCGTTATTTACTTCCTTTCTTACCTCTACACTCTATCTATTATATCTATCTCTTCTACACTCTATCTATTGCAAACAGTGTATTAAAATCCGTTAAGTTGTTTAAAAGATCTAAGCGAACAGATAGAGAAAACGACTTCATTTTCTACTATGTAAATAAATATATTTTCATTTCATTTCATTAAAGATGGTAAAAGGTTAACGGCTTACCTAACGGCAATGGTCAAAGGTAAGTAGCCTTTATATATATATCTATACATATAAATAAAATTGGAGTGTCTGTTTGTAATATTGAAATAACCGTTTTTTACTACATGCATTAGAATATAAATACGGTACATAGACCAAAATAATATTTTTTACAATTTTCGTCTGTCTGTCTGTTTGTTCCGGCTAATCTCTGAAATGGTTGGACTGATTTTGACGGGACTTTTTTGGCTGGTAGCTGATGTAATAAGGAGTAACTTAGGCTACTTTTATTTCAGAAACATAAAGTTAAATTCCACGCGGACGAAGTCGCGTGTACAGCTAGTACAATATATAATACAGAAAGCTAACACGGCTATTTCAGAACCGTTCGTAGGTACTGTGGTTGTCAAACTGTAACAGTACCACTCAAACCTTGACATTCCCGGAAACTTGTTTTTTTATATTTAACTTTGAGCGCGTATGACCGCAGACGGATATGTAATCTTTCCATACCCTATAATTTCTCTGCCATAACTCACCCTTTAATCGTAACATTACAATGCTTGCCGGCAGAAATAGGTGAGACTGAGGTACACAGCCAGACGACTTTGTACAAAGTGTAACTTTATATAGACGAAGTAATGGCATATAAAGAACAAAACAGGCAATGAATATGAAACTTCAGAACGGATGGTGAGGTAGTGACGTACAAACATATGCTACGTTATGTTGTAATTAAATACGCATTGTTGCTAGCGTATATTCGTCTGTCACTCACACCGTCGCATCACATTGAATTAAAATATTCTTATTCCTATAGGTCTACTAGCTGTGCTCGCGACTTCGTTTATGAAATAGACGACGAATGATGAATTTCCACACCAACTTTCAACCCTTAAATTTAGCCCCTTAAGGGTCAAATGTTACAAACTTTGAATGTCATATTTATTTATATTTAATCAACCGCCTAAAAAAACTGCCTATGAAAATTACGTTACATCCGTACAATTTTACATCTCCCCTTACAACCTCTTACAACCCGTTTTTCGCATTAAAAAGTAGCCTATGTCCTGTCTCAGGATCTAGACTATCTGTATACGAAATTTCATTTAAATCGGTTGAGTAATTTTACCGTGGAAGCGAGACAGACAGACAAACAGATTACATAAAGAGATGTTATACATATAGAAGGAATTTGTCCTTCTGTATATAGCCTAGATAACATACAACATATTTAAATGCTACAAAAATTATTAAATATAATTACTAGATGGATTTATATCATTTTGTTTAATTCCGCTACGATTAGTATATGTGAGACAAATATTCGGTGTGGAAACTTGACTACCGTTACGACCTTCTCTAATGGTGATCAAATTCCGACCGTTATTGAGTCTACACACATATTGCGACACGGGTTTCGCCTCTGAACGAGGCATCATCAGGCGTTGAATAGAGTTCGGATATAGCTTGGAAACCTAGTGCTAACTCTCCGGCTCGTAGTAATAGTCAAGTTTCCAGACCGAATATATGTGGCCTCACATATGCTAATTAAATATAGTAGCGGAATTAAACATAATAATATAATATCAAGTAGTGATATGGACTTCCGCAAAATAACACCTAATTCGATTATATTAAATATATCTATTGAATAATAATTGTTCAAAATCTACCCTGTACCATCGTAAGCACAGATTATTATATTAGAGTCCGTTAGTTTTCTGTTCCCGCGCGTTCCCTTCCCCTCCCTTACCTAGTACTGAACTGACCGTACAGCGGCCTTGACGCGCGCGCGCATTGTGTTGTGAATTAAAATAAATTAGAACTGTGTTAAACCTACTGTGAAACTGGAAAGCTAGCGAAGATATCTTCGAGACCCTGAAGCCCAAGAAATCCGCAGAACCATACAGGTACGTGACGGACGCTTCCACATATTTTCCCCTATATATATACATAGTACTTTCCCTAACAATAATAAAAAAAGGAATGCAATACAAGAGGTTCGAACGGAGGGCAACGCTAGGCGGTGAGGCCCAGAAAGGTTCGCTCTTTCGAAGAATGGAATACATTACGGTGTAATAGTCACTCGGCACGAACAAGTGTTAGGTTCGGTTGTAAAAACTTAAACCTGACCTAACACAGTTTTATTATAATTAAACCGTAAATCCTGGTGGTAAACTTTGAACACGACACTTTATATGTTTTGTCGGTATGTTCGGTTGCATTTGTGTGACTTAGGAAATACATTGTCGTGGATTTCAGACCTAAGATTTCAGAAGACGTGACTGGAGTGAAATGCTACTATGTACATATATATATACTAGGTTTTGTCCGCGGCTTCGCTCGCGTTAATTTATCCCCTTAGGGGTGGAATTTATCAAAATCTTTTCTTAGAGGATGCCTACGTCGTAGTAGCTTGATATATGCAAAGTCTCAGCCCGATCGGTTTAAAATTGACAAAGTTTCATACAAACTTTCATCCCTTATTTTATCCCCTTGGGGGTAGAATTAATCAAAATCCTTTCTTAGCGGATGCCTACATCACAACATCTACCTGCATGCCAAATTTCAGCCCGATCCGATCTATATCCGTCCGTATATACGTAACAATATATATAGCTGAAAATTGTACTAAAACATAATTTAAAAAATATAAAAGATCAGACAGCTTCAGCGACTTTGTTTTATACTATATAAAGATATTTTTAACGCAGTGTTTTCTATCACCGGGGGGTTAGTTAGATACAAATGCTAAAAAAAATTTTGTTGCCACCTAAATTATAACTCACGATCCTTGATCAGCAATTGGGTGTACCGAACAACAGCGTCAGAACGGTCCATTATATTTTTATAATATTATGTTTAATCGTCAACAAAATTAAGAGGAAATTTTTAATCTTTGAAATATTTTTCCTCATATTTTAATTTCTTTTGACAAATTTATACGTCTTTTGTCTCTTTTGTGAGCTAAATGAAATAATTTCTAATGAATCGGGAAAAATTGGAATGAAACTCCAAGCAGAGAACGGTCTTTGTAAGAGAGAATGTTAATTGGATCCTATCAATATCTATACATATAAATAAAATTGGAGTGTCTGTTTGTAATATTGAAATAACCGCTTTTTACTACGTGCATATGAATATAAACATGGTACATACAGTAAAAAACATTTTCTTCGATTTTTGTCTGTCTGTATCTCCGGGTAATCTCTGAAATGGCTGTGCCGATTTTGACGGGACTTTCTAGGCAGGTAGCTTATGTAATAAGGAGGCTAGGCTACTTTCATTTAAATCTTTTATATTAGAAAAATAAAGATAAATTCCACGCAGGCGAAGTAGCGGGAACAGCTAGTAAAAGATATAATGAAATGTTTTTATTTTTATCGGAATTCGTTTGGTCAATTCGCAGATGTTGGGTTCAAATCCGATTGCTGTAGATCGTCGTTTTTTTTAACTTCAGTGTACAAGTTTATACATGTACATAGACTGTTTTGATGTTGCTTTTTTTGCTGGAATTCTAAACAAAGTCTAACTGATATTGTCCTCGTTTTTGAAGTTGGTTAAAAATGAAATAGTAGTATGGGAATTATGTTTTTTAATATGTTAAATAAAAATAATAATAATAATCTCAAGACAATTCACACAGCGCCATCTAGACCCAAGTTAAGCTAGCTATAGCTTGTGCTATGGGTACTAGATAACTGATACAAATACATAGATGTTTTTCGTAAATACATACATATTATACATAGAATATACCCAGACCGATGCAAACCATCGTACTTATGAATACAAATTATTTCACCGTGCGAGGAATCGAACCCGCGACTATCAGAAGCAAAGCGGTGTGATAAACCGCAGTCGTCTAATTGAAAAAATAATTATTTTGTATAGATTGGCACATACAAAACAAATTAGCAATAATTCATTCATTCATAATTTAAGAGCTACGCTCTTGTCGGTGGAGCTCTTGCCACTTTCCGCGATCTTCCATCATGCTCTTTAATTCTTGATACGACACGACTCCCATTTTGTCCTCAATTTGTTTGATGTAGCTATTCCTTGGTCTTCCCCTCCCCCTCTTTCCTTCTATTTTCCCCTCAATAATAATTTTCATGAAATCATCGTGCCGTATCAAGTGTCCTAACATTTTTCCTCGTCTATTTTCTATTGTGTTCAATATCTGCCTTTTTTCTTTTACCCTGTGTAGTACTTCTTCGTTTCTTACCTTCGTTACTTCGTTTCTTACTAAAAAAATTAGCAATCAACATATATTATATTATGAAGAAATGTCCCGAGGTATAGCTATCCAGGGGTCTATTCACTATTTCGTTTGTTTTGAAACATGTCACGAAAAAGGGTCCACGTAAATGGACCTACGACATGATAGCACCCAATACTTCAGGATCTTTGTAGTAGAGGCCGCACGTTCCCTCTGCACCTGAACATTTTGCATTCACCATCTCAACTATCAGAGGTGGACTCTTTACAAAGTCGTTTTTGATAACAATAAAAAAAACCCTAACTTGTATAACATCTAATCTAAATATAGTTAACTCAAAGGTGACTGACTGACATAGTGATCTATCAACAGCCCAAACCACTGGACGGATCGGGCTGAAATTTGACATTCAGGTAGATGTTATGACGTAGGCATCCGCTAAGAAAGGATTTTGATTAATTCTACCCCCAAGGGGATAAAATAGGGGGTGAAAGTTTGTATGATACTTTGTCAATTTTAAACCGATCGGGCTGAGACTTTGCATGCATAAATTTACTATGACGTAGGCATCCTCTAAGAAAGGATTTTGATTAATTCTACCCCCAAGGGGATAAAATAGGGGGTGAAAGTTTGTATGATACTTTGTCAATTTTAAACCGATCGGGCTGAGACTTTGCATGCATAAAGCTACTATGACGTAGGCATCCCCTAAGAAAGAATTTTGACAAATTCCACCCCGAAGGGGGTAAATTAACGCGAGATTAATATTTATTCTATTCGAGAAAAACAGTCCTACTTATGAATATAAATGTTTGCACTATATGAGGAATCGAACCCGCGAATCGGAAATAAAGTAATGTGCTAAACCGCTAGACGGCCGATTATCGATTCGCTAATAATACGGTTGGAAAGGAGCAAATTATTTGAAATCGGGCTAGTACCAACATAGTCTCGACAATGTACCTTGTTAAGTCGACCTCCACGCGGCCTCCCTTGTAATCGTGATGATATAAGCATGAAGTCATGACGAAATAAAGACTAACTGACATGACTTTATGCTCATATTATATATACGTATTTCATCATGATCCATTAAACAAAATTGTTTAGCTATTTCATGATGATCTGAATGAGCGGTAGATTAAAAAAAAATGTGATGACTATTCAAAAGTGCTTCAATGTAAGTTTATTTGAATAAATGATTTTCTATTCTATTCTATTCTATTCTTTAATCTTGTATCTACATATTGAACACCTACATGTAGACCCGACCCGACTAATCGGGCCTCAAGTCGTATCCAATGTGGACCCTTTAACACAACAAAATATAATGTTTTTGTCATAAAAACGCTTCGCTATATTTCCTCAGCAAATTTGTAAGCCTCGTAAGGATGGGTTGTGTGTAAAATTATCGATAAATTTCTGATATTACTTTGATATGTATAAAAAGAGAGTAAGCTCAAATAGGAATTGATTGAGAAAGATCTAGACATACTGCGCCGATCTCAAATAATGAGATAAACACAAGGCAATGATTATATTGATATTTATCTTGTAAGAACATTACATCTATACATATATACATATAAATAAAATTGGAGTGTCTGTTTGTAATATTGAAATAATCGTTTTGTACTACATGCATATGAATATAAATACATACACCAAAATAACACGTTTTGCAATTTTAGCCTATCTGAAATGGCCGGACCGATTTTGACCAGACTTTTTTTTGGCAGATAGCTGATGTAATAAGGAGTAACTTAGACTACTTTTATTTTAGAAAAATAAAGTTAAATTCTACGCGGACGAAGTCGCGGGTGCAGCTAGTAATATATATAAACATATACCTACTTAGTAAGTTGATAAGAGAGAACTATGTGCCTGCAGACAAACCCGGAGTTTTGCAGTATAGTATTGTTAATAGTGTAAAAAGAGAGAAGCTGATAAGAGAGAACTATGTGCCTGCAGACAAACCCGGAGTTTTGCAGTATAGTATTGTTAATAGTGTAAAAATTTGAAAAATAAAGTTTTTTATCTATCTATCTATATCTTTATCTAATTAGGACATAGGCTAGGCGTGTTTTAGTAACTAAACGTCTCCCAGCGAGCAACGTTTTATTTAGATATATTTTTTATTGTTAGCTCGGTTACACGTGTCTCTTTAACCAAATGTGTATCTATATATAGTAAAAGCTAGAATGTCTGCATGTACGAGAAAGATATTAACATATTATTACCATGTTAACTATCTTGTAATTATTGTTATGTTATTCATTGTCGTTTTAACAAATACTTATTCTTTGTATTGATATATTTTTATTCCTAACTAGCTGTACTCGCGACTTCGTCTGCGTGGAATTTAACTTTATTTTTCTAAAATAAAGGTAGCCTAAGTTACTCCTTATTACATCAGCTACGTGCCAAAAGTAATCACATTAAAATCGGTCCAGCCATTTCAGAGATTAGCCGGAACAAACAGACAGACAGACAAAAATTGTAAAAAATGTTATTTTGGTGTATGTGCCGTACTTATATTCACATACATGTAGTAAAAAACGGTTATTTCAATATTACAAACAGACACTAAAATTTTATTTATATGTATAGATTGGAAACGTGGCCTCAATGGGCTAAAATCAAATTCAAATAACAAAATAATTTATTCATGTAGGACATTTTAGACGC